CCCAGAGCCCCCCCGTACCCCTCATCCAGGCCAGGCTGTAGCTCTGGCGGCACGAGGCTCGCAGGCAGTGCGAGGTGAAGAAGGTGCCGTGAGCCTCCACCAGCAGCTCTGGGTCCAGCCCCGCCACCCTCTCCAGGGTGTCGATGTTCTGGGGGGGCACAGGGGGGGTCAGGGGCTCCCCAAAACCCCCGTGACCCCCCCGAAGCAGCCAGGAGAGGAGAGGAGAGGAGGGGGGTGTGTGTCCCACCTGGGTGTAGCAGCGCAGCAAGAGCCCCTTGTCCTGCAGCAGCCGCATGAAGTAGTGGCACACCGTGGGCTGGGGGGGAATTTGGGGGTGGTTTGAGGGTCTCTTGGGGCCCCCCCGATTTGGGGAGGGGGCTGGAAGGAGGTTGGGGGTGGTTTACCTTGAACTGCCCCGGGTAGAGCTCGCGGGCGAGGGCGAAAAAGGGCTCTGGGTGTTTCTGGGGGGCACAGGGAGCTCGGGGGGGGGCCCAGAGAAACTCAGGGCCCCCCCACCCCCGAATTTGGGGAGGAAAGGGGGGGTACCTTGAAGAACCCGATCTCGAAGATGGCCTCAGGGTAGGGGAGGTTGTAGCTCTGCAGGTTGGAGTAGAGCCCGGTGCCGGGGGAGCGGAAATCGGGGATCCCGGCAGCTGGGGGGGGTCAGGGTGGGTCAGGACCCACTCCGGGGGTCCCCGAGCCCCCCCTGGGACCCCCCCCCAGCCAGAGCACTCACAGGTGGAGATGCCAGCGCCCACCATGCACACAATGTTCTTACCTGGGGAAGGGGGGACACAAAGGGGTGAGCCCCAAATTCACCCTCGCGAACCCCAAAACTGCCCCCAAATCCTCCGCTGCTCCCCCCTCCCCCTGTTCTCGCTGTCTCCCCTCGGTGCCCAGTTTTCCTGCTGCCCCTTTACGTTCCCAGTGTCCCTACAGTGCTCACTCTTGAGAAACCGGCCCTGCTCCCATTCCTGTCCCCGTCCTCATACACCGGTCACTCCGAATGAACCGGCCCCATTCTCAACCCCGGTGTCCCATCCCCGTCCCCGTACACCGGTCACTCTGGATGAACCAGCTGACACCCCACTCCCGTTCCCTGTGTCCCATCCCCAGTGTCCCATCCCTGGTGCTCTGTCCCCGTACACCGGTCACTCTGGATGAAGCGGCCCCATTCCCAGTGTCCCGTTCCCATCCCCGGTGTCCCATCCCCGTACACCGGTCACTCTTGATGAAGCGGCCAACGCCCGCCAGGCTCAGCTCGTCCAGCACCGGCTCCGCTCGGTCCCCGCCGAGCCCCAGGGTCCGGGACAGCAGCGCCCGCAGCAGCTCCACTGCGGGGAGACACCGAGGATGTCCCCAAACTGCCACCAAAACCCCCTGGAATGTCCCCAAAATCTCCCTGGATGCCCCCAAAACCCCCCAGAATGTTGCACCCAAAATGTCCCCAAAGGTCCCGAAACAGCGCACACCCCCCCGAACGTCCCCAAGGGGTCCCCGAGGTGTCCCCAAAAGATTCCCGAGGTGTCCCCGGGGGGTCCCCAAAGTGTCCCCAGGGTGTCCCCGAAGTGTCCCCAAGGGGTCCCCGAAGTGTCCCCAGGAAGTCCCCAAAGTGTCCCCAAAACGTCCCCAAGTGGTCCCGGGGTGTCCCCA